GCCAGGGGCCGGGGAGATGGCTCAGTAGGATAAGCGCTTGACTGGCAAACGCAAGGATCTGAGTTCAATCCCCGGTTCCACCAAAAAAAAAAAAAAAAGAAAGAAAGAAATGAGGGCCAGCCTGGCCTATATAATGGTGAGCTGAAGGCCAGCCCGAGGTACATAGTGCAATCCTGCGCCAAAACAAACAAAAGTAATTAAAAAATAAAATAAAATAAAAATGAAGATGAGCTTTTTTAATATGGAAACATCCCAGAAGCTGGCTTGGTGTTTCAACAGAGAGACAGCCACTAGCCACCAGCAGAAACCCTGCAGACAGCGCCTTTGTCTCTTTTCAGTGCCACATGGAGCCCTCGTGCAACTGTCACACTATGAATTATGGACTCCAATAACACAGGTGACAGTGCCGGGCTGGTGTCTAAGAGGCCTCTGATGAATTACCATGTTTGTGCTCTCTTGGGGAGCACAGCCAGAAAATGCAAATCTCTGGTAATTAATATCAATACGTGCAATTTCAGCCCATTGCCTCTGATTAGATAAGCAGCTGGTAACAGGCTCATTTTTAAACAAACAAGTTCTGCTGGAACCCTAATGAATGAATTTGCCAATTAGCAGTCTAGGCCATTAGATTGCAGACAAAATTCATTTGTTCTTGAGCCAAACTGCTCATCACATATTCATAGAGAAAAAAAAAAAATCATTGTGAAAGGTGAGGGCTCTTTTGATGGAAAATTCTGTCCTGGTTTAGAAAGACAAATGGTCCATTGCAGTAGGTTTGGACTGTGATTCCGCCCGCCCCTGCTTCTTCCTGGCAATCTCAGGCAAGTTACTCCCCTGTGCGTGGAGCCTCAGTTTCCTCAACTGTCAGGGCCACAGTCATCCCAGCCCTTTCTTTGTCACAGAAGTACTGTCTAAGCCTAAGAAGGTAATGACTGTGGTGTTGCTTTGTAACATCAGGATCTGGAGGTCTAGGGTCAGAAGTGTGAGCTTGAATTCAGGGTATGCTGTGTCCTAGCTGTGTGGCCTTGGGGGTTGGCCCTTTGGACTTCTATATCCTCAGTTAGAGGTGGGCATAATCAGTAAGGTTACTTGTGAGGACTGTGGTGAAGCTTACCTGAGCAGTAGGTGTGTACTAGTTACCTACTGCTGTGTAACAGCATCACAACAAGTTTAGCACCTTAAAACCACACACATTTGTTATCTTGGTTCCTGTGGTTCAGAAGTCTGAGGATGGCTTAGCTGAGCCTCCATAGATCCAGACTTTTGACTGTCACCAAGCTGTCAGCCTAGAATGGACTCACTGGAAGTCTTCCTGGGGAAGGGCCAGCTCTTGCCCCTTAGCCTCCTGCAGCATGGTCTTCTATGGCTACACTCTGTGCTGGCCCCCGACCTCCTTATGTCCTGTATCAAGTGCGTGGCACACACATCATATCCACCTGTCAATGAAGGGGACCACATAGAGGTGAGATCCTCAGGTGAGGGTGCGGAGGTCCAGGGTGTCTGTGAAGGACTCAGAGACTTGTGCTGACATTGATAACCTGGAGAAAGCACAGTGAAGCAAAAGGAAAGCACTTTGTGTTTCCACTTGGGCCTCCCATTTCTGAATCCATATATTTAAACACATGGGTCTGGAGGTGTAGCTCAGGGGGGAGAAGGCTTGGCTAGTGTGTGCTGGGCCCTGGGTTTGATTCCCAGGCAAGGAGGAAGAGAGGGAGGGCAGCAGTGAAGGAGGGAGGGGGGTAGGAAGGGATGAGGGAAAAGGGGAGGGAGGGAAGAAGGAAGGACAAAAGAAAGGAAGTAAAGGCAGAAGAGAGAGAGGCCAGATGCCCTATAAAGAGAAGAGGTTTGTTCGGCCCGTGGTTCTGGAGGGGCAAGGGCATGGCTCTGGCCTTGGCTTGAGGATCCCACAGCGCATGACATTGTGGGGGCAGTATATTGGCTAGGGACATCACAGGACAAGACAGGCAGCCAGAAAGCTGCATCAATCTCTTCTGACGGCTGTGCTCTCAGAGATGCAGAGATTTCTGTAGCTGCCCCCCACACACACACCATACCACCACCACAGCATGCCAAGGACCAGGCTGCTGGAGCATGAAGTTGTGCGGGAGACACTCACTCAGCGTAGCAGTGCTCTCCTGTGTCCTCAGGAGAGTTACTCAGCCTCTCTGAGCCCCAGTGTGCCCAGCCACTGGGTGCAGACAGGAGACCCATCACACTGTGGTTGGTCTGATCGGTCAGTGAAGTCTACCCATAAAGCACGCTGAGACCTATCACACACAACAGCTTCCCCCACCCCGCACCCCCCACCCCCCCACCCCCACCCTGGCGTCTCGGGTTCTGTGCGGACGCGGCTCTCCCCACAGAGGGCGCTCCTGAGGCGGGGCTGCTGTCTTCCAGGCGCATGCTGAGAAACAACAACAAACCCAAGGAGCAGAAGAGCGTGCTCATCCTGCCGCCGCGGGCCGGCACCCCCAAGCTCTTCAACGCGGCCCTGGCTGTAGCAGGCAAGATGGGCAAGGGCGGCAAAGGCGGTAAGCTCGCGCACCTCCGGGCCCGGCTCAAGGAGTTGGCGGCGCTGGAGGCGGCTGCCAGGCAGCAGCAGTTGCTGGAGCAGGTAATGCTGTGGGAACCCCAGCATCCCGTTCCTTTAGGTGCAGGACAGGGAGGCAGAGGGACCCGAGAGTGGGCCACAACCTTAGGTGCTCTTGTCCCTGCTTATAGCAGGCGGGGCTTACATGACTGCAAGTGACAGGGGGCAAGGTTTCGTTAGCTTGAGAAAACAAGTGGGGGAGTCCAATGATGACAAGTTCAGATATGGCTGGATCCAGGCGCCCAGGAGGCTGAGGCGCAGCTCAGGGCAGAACGCTTGCCTAGGTAGGATATGCGGGCCCTGCCTTGGCTCCGTCCTCACCAGTACAGAATCAGTGCTCAGTAGAAACCCATATGCGGTGGCAGGACTGGTTTTCCCAGTGTGTTATCTCTGCATCTGTTTCTCTCATGATGGCCCCGCTTCCAGGCAGGCTCCAGTGATTACATCCTCTTGGTGTAGCAAGCCCAACAGAAGTATCTCTTCCCAGGGATTCCAGCAAAAGATCCCAGACCCACTGTCATTGGCCAGAATTGGATCACTTGCCCATCCCTGGACTGAGAGTGGGGAGGGGAGGACCTCTGACAGGAAGGCTGGGTGCTGCTGTGGAGCTCAGAGGATTTGGTGTGGGCAGGGAATGTCCTTCCCTGGTAGCAGTGATGTTCTCCTATTTAATATTGTGTTTGTGACGACCTGAAAGATTTGAAAGGAAAAAAAAAAATCTTACAACCTGGCATAGAGCCAGCTCGTCCCCCAACTCTAAGGGGAATATCAAAATTAGTTCTGGGACTTTTTTCTGTGACTAAAGCCAAGAATGCCAATTAGAATAATTGCACTAATTATGTCTGTTCATGACTCTCCTTTAGGGAGGCCGCTAGCAAAGAGGGAGGTTGGGGCCAGGCAGGTGTTTAGGGACAGGGTTGTTTGGAGGCGCGGGTGTCAACCTAGATGACAGAGTTCAAAGGAGGCCAGTGAAACCAGCCTCATTCTGGGCTGGTACAAATAGACAGCAGGAGTCTAGTGACATCAGAACCACGTGGGATTCCCAACAGTTTTCCAGATGCAGCCCCCTCTGGCTCCAGACTGAGGACATCGAGATTGTTCGGCTTGCCAACCATTAAGGTCCCAGTTGAGCCAGGAGGCTGGGGTCTTTAGTGCCGGTCTCTGTGTGGGTTCATGGATAAAACCCCAAGAATACCCTCAGTGATGGGCATGGTGGTGCAGGCCTGTGAATGCCAGTACTGCAGAGGCCGAGGCAGGATGACTGAGAGTTTGAGACCAGCCTGAACCATGTCATCAGTTCAAGGCCAGTGTGAAGCACGCAGTGAGATCCTGTCTCTAACACCTCCCCCCACCAGAAAAAGAGTACTGTCAGATCAGCATAAAACTAGCTGAGATGGGTCTGCTGCACCCAAGTACTGCTCTTCACTGAGATTGAATTAAATTTGCATGTGTCCCAATAAAAGACATTTCCCCAGCCACTGAGAACAGGCAGGCACAATGGCAGAGTGCAAGTGATACAGGGAGAAAAACTGATCTCAGGTGGGTGACCTCCAAACCATATAGGGAACCTCTAAATGACATAGGGAAAAAACGATCTCCCAACCTGACCTGTACAAGTTTGTGTTCTCTAAAACCAAAGAATGAATTTTAGGAACAAACAGAGGTTATGAGCAGAATATATTTATTGAGAGAAAGAAAGTTCCTGTTCAAGAGAGTGACAAGAGGGGGGCCCAAGCCAGTAGTTCCCCAGGAAGCTGTCTCTTCCAGGGACTTTTATAGTGTGAAACCACGTGGGGCTAAGGTAGAGAGAATGGGAACTTGCTTAAGTGGGCAGGAAGTGGGACAAAACTGTGGTCAACCAATGGGATTACGAGCACCATTGCTCAGGTAAAACTGATTAAATCCAGTATCGAATGGGAAAGCGAGTCACGTAGCAAGCGGGCATGAATATGGGACAGGGTCTTTTCCTGTTGGGTGTTGGAATGCAGGACAGGGTCTCTTTCTGCTGGAGGTTGGGCTAGTGACTCACTTGGGTCTTTCCAGGTGATTGATACCTATTTAGAATATCAATCCCAGGTGCTACTCGTTTAGCATTTGTTTGGTCTTTCGGTCTGGTTCACAGCAGGAGCATCCGCCCCTCCCACAGTTGTAAGGCATCTCCTTTTCTGCTGTCTCCTTCGAGGGCCTGGCCCTGTCTGACTGCCTATATTTCTATCTAACTCAGCTGCCTGCAATACAAGGAGCTCGTACCTAGAGGTCCAGAGACACCGGGCTACATCCCAACTCTGTCACCAGCTGCCTCCATGGCCCTGAAATAGACCCCCAGCTCTGAGACCAGGTTACTCCCACTTGCCTGGCATCACAGAGGTCAGGCGGGCTGACTTGCTTGCCTGCTAGAAAGCATTGAAGATGTGGCAAAGCCCTTCCCTAGCTTCCGCTTCACAGTTTGGTTCTGTTTATAGCAAGATGCTCCCAGAAGTCCCATCCAAGCAATTGGCCCTGGAAGGGTGTTGTCAGGTTTTGGGAGCGCAGGACAGATGTGTGAAGACATGCAGAAGCCAGAGACAGAGGGAGTGGCAGATCCTAGAATTGTCCTGGGTTCTAGAAAACTCCCCTCACTTCCTTCAGCAGCCAGCAAATTAAGCATACTGCAGGGGTCTCCACCCTCTCATGTGGCCTCCCCCACATACATTCACAGCCACTGCCTGCAGTGGGTCTAGGTAGCTGAGGGCCACTCTGCCTGGCCCTCTGGGGGCTGCCCCTCGTCCAGCTCCTGTGTGTAAGTGGCTGGGACAGGGCAGACAGGCCGAGCTGCCCACGAAAGCTGAGGTTCTTGGCCAGGTTTCCTGCAGCCACACAGTCCTGAGCTCTAAGGCACAAGCTACAGGCTGCAGGTGCCCACGGGGCTCAGCCTAACATGAGTAGCATTGAAGCCCATCTTTCTTCGGAGGATCTCAGCCCCAAGGACCCTGCCTCTGCACCCTTCACCCCAAGAGCTTGGAGTTTCTCTCCTTCACTCCAGGACCACCCATCCCTGGTTATAGGAGTGCGCATCCCGGATGGGTCAGCCTTTGAGAGGCCTCCTGGCCCTGCCCTGTGGTCACCTCCATAAGTCCCTGAGGGTTGGGGCTCTGCCCTGGACAGACAACCACTCTGCCACTCAACAGAGACCTCAAACTTCCCCAGGGCCTCCTGCCATGCCCAGCCCAGACTTCATCCCTAAACTTCCCATCAATTATTATTTCCCCAGAATAACCCTGACACCACTGGTCCAGCTGATTTTTATTCCCAGCACTCTGATGGTTCTTCTCTGGGAGTGCAAGATCTGGCTGTAGTCCTAGCTCTGGGGAGGCTGAGACAGGAGGATTCTAAGTTATACCTCAGCCTAGGCAAATTAGCGACTCAGAGAAACCCAGTCTCAAAAATAAAATAAAATAAGGGGCCGGGGAGATGGCTCAGTGGAATAAGCGCTTCCCTGGCAAGCCCAAGGCCCTGAGTTCAATCCTCAGTTCCCCAAAAAGTAAAATAAAAGGTCTGAGGATATAGTTTAGTGTGAAGGCCCTGGGTTCAATTCACAATATAGACAAAAAAATATTAAAACTCGTAAATGGAGGTGTCTAAGACCCTTGGACGTTCTGTCTCACATGTCACCTTTTCTGGATTTCAGGCCAAGAGTGCACAGGAAGCTGCTGGGGAAGCTGGCCGGGACCAGCCTGCACCTCAGGAGCCCCAGAAACTCCAGGAGCCCCAGGAGCCCCAGGACCCCCCGGATGCTCCAGCCCCACACTCTCCACTGCCGACCTCCACAGAGAAGCCCAAGGGCGCTGAGGAGGAACTGGCCAGCACAGAGGAGCCCTCGGTACAGATCCACTTGAGCCCAGGTCCAGAGCCCAGCGAGCAGACGCTGTCTGTTGAGCAGACACTGCCGGAGAAGGATACTGCAGAGTGAGGCCCAGCCCGCCCCATCCAGGGCGCCTCCTGGCGGGCTTGATGTTAAAATCAACACTTTCCACCCAATGTCAGCATCCCCAAGCTCCCAGCCTTCCTGGAGGACCCAGCTCCGACGGATGATTGCTAATCTTAAAAACAAAATCACTTTCCACTTTTAAAGTTCCTAGGCAAGAGGCTGCCAGGGGACCCTATCTCCACAGGAAGCTCTGTTACAGGAGCCATGGGTCGGAGGGACCAGGAGGGGGCACTGTGGGAGTCCTCTCCTTGCAGCAAGAACAGCAAGACATCTGTGCTGAAGGTGGCAGTTCTGCTGGAGCATGGGACCTCGTGGTCCTTGGCTGGCAGCCTGTTAGGGACACGAGGCTCCCAGGGTGGTCAGCACTTAGCTTCCTCAGGCTCCTTTCAGGTCTGTCTCACACTGTCTTCTCAGGACAGTTAGGACAGACATGGGTTTGCTAGCAATGGGGCTGCACTCCTGGGAGCAACAGGACAGCCCTGTCGAAGTGTCTGCCTCTGGCTTGTCACCTTGAAAAGCCCCCTGTATTGCCAGCAGGAATTGGGCTCTCACCTGCTTTTGACATCCTTGCTAGAGAAGCAGCTTCGATTAATCCTGGAAGGTGGAATCTCACAGATGTGACACCATTTAAACTCCCTAAAGTCTCTCCAGACCACGCTGATTTGATTAAAAAAGGAGGGGCAGAACGCATCAGCCAGGTCATGAGTGTATATAGAGAGGGTTTTATTTACATACTGAATGACTCTTAGGGGAGGGAATGATTAAAGATGAAAATGAGTGTTGAGACCTTCATTTCTACCAGCATGCAGCAAGGAACCCAAAGGGCCAGGAGTTCCAGAAGGGCCTGTCCTTGTTCCATAAAGCCACAGGAGCGTAGAGAGTTGCTCAGGTGACATTTGAGGTCTTGCAACTCTGTGGTTTTGTCCATCAATTTAAAACCACATTCATTTCCAGGGTGAAAAACAACAACAAAACAAATAATTTGAAGTTCCTAACTTGGTCTAAGCAGTTCTGAATCCCACAGTGATAAACATCGGTGTCTAGTTGGTGCCTGATCTCTTGGTGTGGGGAATTGAATGTAATGATGATCCACATTATCATTTTACTGCTTAAAACGGTTTGGTTAATGTAATATATCAGGTAAGGACATATTTACATGGTACAAAAGGATGCTCACCAAAAGCTCCACTCTGTCTACCCTTGGTGGCCTCCCTGGGGGGCTCCCTGGAGAAGCAGTTAGCAGCTTTTTCTGTACCCTTTGAGAGAGACCGTATGCTTACACAGGAAAGACATATATTCTTTCCTATTCTCCTTATTTATTTTTTAAAATTTTCACAACCTTTTATTTGGCAAGATGTTAAGAGAACATCAGAAACACAAGCAAAAACAAAAAAACTAGACAAATAGGACACAATTTTACAATTAAATGCATCAGAGGAGATTGTCGGGAAAGTAACGACAACGTACAGAATGGAAGAAAATAACTGTTAAGTCATATGAGTCTAGTATTGAAACTTAAAAAGAATTCTTATAACTCAATAAAGGAAAGAACAATTTTTTGAGTCTGGATCTCACTGTGCTGCCCATGATGGCCTTGAACTCCTGGGCTTCAGCCTCCCTCGTAGCTGGGACGACAGGTGTGTACCCAGCCCTTTTTTAAAAAAATGAGATCTTGTAATACATATTAGAGCTACTGTTATTTTTCCACTTAATTTATTTTGGAGATTACTGGGTTCCCTGTTAGTACCTAAAGAGTATGTTTCTTTGTTCCTGATTATAGTCCAGTCCATTGTATCAAGACATTTAAATCATTCTTCCGCTAATGGGCATTTGACTGTTTCCAATCTTGTACTATTAAAAATAGTGCTGCAAGCTGGGTGTGGTGACACACCACTATAATCCTAGCACTTGGATGGCTGAGGCAGGAGGATTGCTGTGAGTTTGAGGCCAGCCTGAACTGAACTACAGACCAAGACTCGATCTTAAAACAAACAAAGAATAATGCAGTCAAAAAATTGTGTACAGGGGCTGGTGAGATGGCTCAGTGGTCTAAAGCACCTACTTAGAACAAGCTTAACAAAGCACAAGGACCTGGGTTCAATCCCCCAGCACCACATGCCAGCCAGCCCCACCCCCTGGTGGGCTGAGCTGGCCACACACACACACAAATAAATAAATAAATAAATAAAATCGTGTACAGGAAGTGAAAACTCAGTAGTAGAGCATTTGTCCAGCATGTGCAGGACCCTAGATTTGATACTGAAGAAAACAATATTGTAGAGACATAATTTCATGGGTACACAGTTGAAAAGTTTTATTTTTATCAGTACACGCTTGCAGTACGTGATTACATTCATCATGAGGAGCTGGTACATGTGCGTAATGCATCTTAACTTTTTAACATCCTCTTCCCCTTCCTCCATCTTGTGTAAAACATGTCTCCCTGCTATAGAAACTTTTTTTTTTTTTTTTGGCTGGCTCAGCCCTGTCCTGAGGGTGGAGATGGCATGTCATGTGGTGCTGGGGATCAAATCATGATCCCCTGCACCTGCCTGAGCTTGCCTAAGCAGGCCCATTAGACCTCTGAGCTATCTCACTGGCCCCATAAACTATTTTTAAATTGGGAAGACTGGGAGCTTAGGCAGATTTTCCCCTTCACTGTCCCATTTGTGATTCCCATATTTGCTCCACATTTTCTAAGGCCCAGATGCAGAGAGAACTCCCACCTTACCTAGTATTCCAGCTACCCCCATAAAATAAGCATACTGCCCTTGGTGGATGGTGAAATGTTTCCATGTATTTCCCCTGAGATCATATTTTATAAGGAATCTATTTTTATGTGAATGTACTTATTCTTCTAGATATCAGTCTGAATGTATCCTGCTTGTTGTATAAAGTGAGAGATTCTTGTGGTTCCTAAGAATTGTCCTGGAAAATTGATTTTGACGTGAGATTAGCTGTGTCTTAATTTCACTGAACTATCTCATTAAATCCAGCGCTTTTGCAAAGCCAATATAGTATGTAAATTGAATTGCAAATGGCATTATTCTCCAAATTGAATGGAGCTGGTGGGTCTCAGAGGTAAGAACGGCATAACTGAGATGCTCTAATCCTGCAGTGAAACAGGACCTGTAGTTCTGTGGGTTGAATCTCTACTCAGAGTGTCTCAACGTGTCCTACATTTTGGTAGAAAGTAAATAGCAAGTTATTTTTTTAACTATATAAATATTTTAAATACAATTAAAACCAAGAAGCTGTTTAAAAATTCATTATCAAAATGTGTTCAGCTACCAGGAATATTTTAATCTGTTTTCTTAGTAAACATGAATACTTTATGTATACTTAGGCTTTCATATTACAGTGTATTTTAATTAAAGTATTTAAACAAATGTTCCTGGCTCGTGGATTCATTTTTAAAGCTGCCCATGCGGAAAACACCTTTGTGAGAGATACTAAGTGAATTTCCTGGCTCTGGCTCCTGGCTGCACTCCCATTCACGCCCTGGAGCTCTAATCCATCCTGCATTCCTGTGGCTAGGGCTGATACCCTTATCAAACTTCCACAGTCCTGGGATCCCAAGGCGTTCCACTCCTTGTCAGCCTCGCCCGGCCAGCTGCTTCACTTCTCCAGCCCCATTCTGTGACAGTAGGGCTGAGGGACAACGGGGCTCTAGAGTCTGACTGCCTAGTGGCTTCCAAGCCCAGTTTTTTGTTTTTTTTCTTTTGGTGGAATCAGGGCGTGAACTCAGGCCCTTGCGCTTGCCAGGCAAGCACTTCTTCTACTGAGCTATCTCCCCAATCCCCCAAGCCTAGTTTGACCGTGGGTCATGGGTGCTCATGGGCTTCTCTGAGCCACAGTGACCTCATGCATAAAATGAAAAGAAAGCCTTCCCTGGTGGTGCACACCTGTAATCTCAGCGCCCTAGGAGACTGAGGGAGGACAGTGAGCAGCTTAACAGTTAAATAAGACCTTGTCTTGAAATTTAAGAACAACAAAAAAAAAAAAAAGAAAGAAAAGGACTGGACATGTAGCTCAGTGTAAAGGCCTGGGGTTCAACTCTCAGTGCCACAAAAAGACACACACACACACACACACACACACACACACACAGATCTAGGCCACCCAGCCTGGATGTGACTTAGTCTAGCATGGTTTCTGTTAGGACCTCTTTAAGAACACAGCTTGGTTCCTACATCGTCCTGAATCCACATTGGGAAGAGAGGCTGCTCTGACCAAGATCAAAGGCAAGCGCCTCCCCTTGGCCGGTCAGCCAGCAGGAGAGAGCGCTTTGTTCAGAAAGGTGAACTTGGGCCTCAAGGCTCATTTCCCACAGGCTTCTCCTGCCCCCTTCTGGCACTGAGAGGGACTCAACGACAAAGCCCCTTGAGACAGAACCTCCTCCTCCTCCTCCACCATCCTTCCTGCGCGCTGAGGCCACCTCCCTGCTTTTCTCTGAGAACAATGGCGGCTGAGACTTGGGACCGTGGGGAGAGGCTTTCCACTCAGTCTTGGCTGCCACAGCAGCTGCCGCAAGGTGATCGGGAAGGAAACGATCCGAGCCAAATCACAGATGAGGAACTTCGAACTTAAGCAGAGGGATTTATTCTCTGGGAATCAGCACTGTGGCTAAGGACAGAAACAGCAGAGAGGCGAGCCCCCTGCAGGCCACCAACTTCCTCTGCTGCTAACCTGCAGGGTCTCTTTAGTTGGGCCACTTTCACTCATTCCTTCAATTAATACTTTTAAAAATTCTTTCTCTGTTCAAGCACCGTGCAAGTTGCTACTCCTGCAGTGTTGCTCACCACAAAAGAGCTCCTCCAAGTCTGGGGTGCTCTCTCCAGCAGGCTGAGGCGGTGTTGGACTTTGGTCTGGGTCAAAACAGCCCTGTTCTACCCTGCTCCTTCTCTGGGGTCTCCTCCTGATGTTCGCAGATAGAAACCAAGACTTGTTTTTAAAGAAGTTCTACTAGAAACCAAGTGTCT